CAAAAAGAGAGCAGGAAAATCATGATGTCATGGGAAGATGCAGTAAAAAAAGAGCAAGGCAAAACACTATCAGTATCAACACAGTTCCTTTATTGTCAGTCAGGCATTATAAAAAAATATGTGTCCATAAAAATGATTCAAAAATCAAAAATAATCGCACTGTAAATGAATGTTCTGCTGAAAAAAAAGAAACTGGAGCCACCGGTCCACCACCTAGTCCAAATCTGACAGTTCCATGGCCTTACCAATGGACTGGTTGTGTTGGACCACCTGATCAAACGAGGGAGGGAGAGGAGTAGTTCCAATTTGGAACAAGTGAGTCCCAGGCAGCGTGTGGTAGGTGTAGCTGTAGCGAAGACGATGGACAAATGATAAGTGTACCCAAGTGAATGGGACAGCGATGAACATGGGCGACGCAAGGGGATGAACCTTCTCCAGCTCAAAAACTACCCACCCACGCTCCAACCAGGCAAGACGAGCGACCGATGTTTTGATAGTATATGATGGCAGATCGACGTCATGAAGATGGACCTGTTGCCCTATTTGGACCGGCCGCCGGGGCTTTGCTGATATCAGCAGTGGCACGTGGTAGTCAACGGATCGGCGACGGAAGCGGATAGGAAGTGGTGACATCAGAAATGGTGGGGGTGCAAAGAAGATGAGGAGGAGGAGGGTGGAGGTGACGAGGAGGTGAACTAAAATGGGGACCCAGAAACGACCGTCGGGTGAGAATAAAAAGGAGAGGAAGGGGCCCATGGTGGGGCTAGGCAAAGGAAGGGGAGTAAGGGAAACGACAAAAGCGAGGGCGCAATGCAATGTGTAGCCAGTGGCGACGCGAAAATTTGCCGAAATGCCAAAACACGGAAAGTACCGAATGGAAAGCAAAGGTGAGCACGATGGGATTGCCTAATAGAGATGGTCCTGATCAGCCACAAGATTGAAAAAGGCAATATTAATTACTATTCCATGTGGCACTGTGCCTGTGTGGCGCAAGGCGAGTCTTTTTGAATATTCGCTTTGTTATTGACACCTGCGTGACTCTCAGTCACACTCTAGCCCTATCGTTTCTGCGAGATGCTCTAACCGCGAAGCAGTTGCGAGTAGAAATTTGGAAACCTGCACCAGGCCAGACAAAGAAAGCATCGAAGTTTGTCCTGGAGAAGGAGGTGAGAGCAACTACGCGCCCTGATACGTATATTGTATATGTTGGTCTATCCCTAACATTGTGACTTCTTGCAAGGCATCCCCTGGAAATTTACAGGCGGTAGAAGACCTTCTGTTCGTCAACTCTGACATTCTTTCCGCCCCTATTGTTATGGCGATCAAGATTGTATCTGCTTCCGCAGACAAGACGAAGACTAAAACGGTTGGAATAGCATTTGCAGACACTAGTATCAGACAACTAGGAGTGGCAGACTTTGTTGACAATGACTTGTTTTCAAACACAGAGGTGAATCGATAAAATGTCATGTCTTGTATATTCTAACCATAGATCAAGTCTCTAATAATACAACTCTCTGTCAAAGAGGCGCTAATTCCAACCGGCACTGCATCTGGGAATACCGATCGTGATATTGACTTGAATAAACTCAAAGCAGTATTGGAGCGGTGTGGAGTGGTCATTACCGAAAAGAAACCTAGTAAGTTTCATTTCTATCGTCGCGATTTTCTTTCAATTCAGACTGGTATAGGTGAATTTACCGCAAAGAATATCGAAGATGACCTAATGAAGTTGCTTGTGCAAGATCCGGGTTCTTCTGCTACAGTGGGTAATCCTCAAACCATATGTATGTTATTTTGTTGCCAATTATGATATTGGGCTGATGAAGGCCTGTTTTCTCGTTGTCCTGCTTTCCAGCTCAGCTATCTCTTCCTGTGGCTCCATCTGCCCTGTCTGCTCTAGTAAACTATCTATCATTACTTACGGATCCGTCGAATCACGGAGCGTTTAGCATCCGAACTCATGACCTATCACAATACATGAGATTAGATGCTAGTGCTCTTCGTGCTCTCAATTTAACCGAGCCACCTGGTAGCGCAGTAAGTGCTCGTGTCATTCCTCAGTTTCTTCTAACTTGCGAATAGGGGTCTATCAATCGAAATGCTACTTTACTTGGTCTCCTCATAAATGCAAGACTGCACAGGGCACAAGATTGCTGGGGAGTTGGCTAAAGCAGCCATTAGTCAATCTTCATGAGATCCGTAAGTCGCTATATTTTTAACACTAGAGGGCTCTCATTTCAGTTGTCGGTCATCGTCAGAAAAGAGGCAGAAATTTAGTTGAGATGTTTGTTGACGATTCTTCTACTCGTAGAAATCTTCAGGTCAGCACTGATTCTGATTTCCGTGGCACTTGTATTCCATAAATAGTGTCGTCTCACTCATGTGAATGTTTATATTAGGACGACTTCCTCAAATTTATGCCTGACATGCATCGTATCAGCAAGCGTTTCAAGAAATCAGCCGCCTCTCTGGAAGATGTCGTCAGAGTGTACCAGGTTGTGCTTAAAGTAACGAAGCTTGTGCAAATGTGACCCACGTACAATTTGATTTACTACGCGCCAACAGATTCCTGGTCTCATAGCCAATCTTGAAGGCACGCAAACAGAACAAGACGATTATAAGTCTCTGCTGGAAGAGATTTACCTTAAAGATTTCCGGGTAAGTTTGTTCGCTATTCTCCTGTGTCATTTAATTCTTCTGCTATTTGTTCATCCAGGAATTTAACGAAAACCTCTGTAAATATGGGGAGATGGTGGAGCAAACGC